GCTCCGTCGCCGCCACCCATGCCGCCTCCTCCTCTGACCCCGCCCTCTATTCCTTCCCCTCCTCCCCGACCCCGCCTCCGCGCCCGCCCCCGGCCTCGGCCCCTCCGGAGCCCCCCTCCACCGTGGCCCGCGCCGGCCGCAGCAAGAAGAAGCCCGCCGGCGGCCGCATCGAGGGCGGCGGCGACGTGCGGCGCGAGGCCAAGTCCCGGGCCAAGCGCCGCAGCCGCCGCCTCTCCGAGAACGCCTTCTACCGCCGGAAGCGCCGCGCTGCCTCGGGGCAGGCCGACGCCTTCACCGACGAGGAGCTCGAGATGATCGGCCTCGGCTACGACCGCTCCGTCCGCTTCATGGACGGGCCGGACGACCCGCGCCTCCGCCACCCGCACGACTGGTACAGGTTCGGCGCCTTCGGGCCCTACTCCTGGCGCGGCATCGTCGTGGGGCCACCCATCCGCGGACGCTTCTCCGACGACCGCGTCTCCCTCATGTCCGAGGTGGCCGACCACGACGAATGGGACCGCAACGAGCAGTTCGAGATGTCCAACCAATTTTCCCACCGTCTCAACGAGCTCAATGATGCCGTAGGCTTCCGGTACTACTGGGTCTTCGTGCGGCACCCTAGGTGGCGCCCCGACGAGCCACCATGGCAGCAGTGGACGCTCTCGGCCGAGGTCGCCGTCCAGGCCAGCAAGGACGAGCGGCTGGATAAGTGGAGCCTCATGGGCCGGTTTGGTAACGCGACACGCGAGCTAATCACTCGCTGCGCGGCCTGGACGCGCCCCGACATCCTATACGTCAAGCGGCCGCTGTACCAGTCGAGGTTCGAGCCACAGGAGGAATTCTTCAGCCGGCTCCGCCCGTTGGTTGATCCCTCAACAGAGAACCAGTTTTTGTTTGACCTTGAGCAGGATGGCAGGGTCATTCAGACGACCTACTTTGGGGGTCTTTGCAGGATTGTGAAGGCAAGCCCAAAGTCTTATGTGGATGATGTTGTAAATGCATACTCGAAGCTGAGTGAGGCGGACAAGTCACGCTGTCTGGAGTTCTTGCTCACAAACCATCCCATGGAGCTACTCCACCCATACACCAAGGAGTGGAAAGTGAAGCTAGAGGAGATGGAGCTTGGGTGTGATGCACCTGATGAGAGTGACGATGAGGGTGGTGATGAGACTGGAAGTGAGGTCATTGATTGGGTTGAGGATGAAGAGGTTGATGTGATTGATGATACTGAGGATGATGATTATGAGGATGAGGAAGTGGTCGACGTTAGTGAAGAGGTGGAAGCAGATGAAATAATAGAAAGTAGTGAGGAGAATGAGGACTACTGGGACGAGCAATGGGATAAAGCGATGAAAAGTTCTGATAAAATGGAGAAACTGGTCAAGACCAGGGTTGAGAAATCATATGAGTATAATAATCGACAAATGCAACAGCAGAAAGATATGGAATCGCAAATGGGCACTTCAAACACAATGATTATGCAGCAGGAGCAGGCCGAGGAGGATGAGGTGAAGTTGGTACATCAGGAAAGTGCAAGGAGCAGAAGTGCGCTGGTCAGAGTGAAGCGTGAGTCCCCTCCAGGGCTCTTCCTGAGGGCAGCCGTCCGGCCATTCACTTACAGGAATCTTGTCAAGGAAATTGTTCTGATGAGACACCAAATTATTGATGGAGAGATAGTTTAGCTTCAAAATTTCAGCAACTGGAGAATTGCAGAGACTGCGCAAACAAGGTTCTGAAGAAGCATCTTCCTCGGTTATTTACAATGTTTAGCTGTATTTAGAGCGTGTTGGTCTTCTTTGTAGTTCTGAACCTAGGGAATACACAAGTCATGTAATTCTTCCCCTGCAAAAGTTTTTAATGAAATTTGAGATTTGAAGCTCATATGTCTGATATATTGAGTTCTCCCCAATGAAGTTTAGTATGGCTTAGTTCATGTCTAGGGTTGATTTTTCTTGGTTTGGTTATTATAACAACTGTTACAGTACTATCTAATGTGGCGTATGGAGTTATTTTCCTGTCACTTGCTCCTCTGTATAATCAACAAAAAACCAGACTGCTCAACCGAAACTCGGAAGAACGGACAGGCACAAAGGTCTACAGCAAGCTGGGCATCAAGGAGATGCTGCTAAACTATAGGGCGACTGTGCTAGGCAATCTGCTGACACATAAATAAGAAGATTCAGATATTTCTCAAAAAAAAAAAGAGAAGCAATTAAGTGTTTAACTGAGCTAAAACAATGACTGGTCTGATCTCAGCTGAATGTGAAGTTTTAGCCATCTAGCAACTTTTCTTTTTCCCGAAGACATTCTGAACATGCCCTAAAAATTGTCCAGCAACCGTTCCCCCTTTCCCAAAAGCTACTAAAAAGCCATGACAAGAACTCCATGCCGACAAATTAACATGATTTTTAGCTTCCCCTCAAAAAATTCTGCGGGAGCCTTCAAGAATCCGCAGAGCCAGCTTTACATTTAAAAAAAATAGTTGTAAAGCTCGACGATCAAACCGATATCCCATGATCGAAAGGGCCCTTGTCCTGAGATATAAAAATCCCCCTCAAGTTTTGTCAAAAGGTGAATGATCAGCAGACAGGATTAGAAGGCCTACACATGACGCTAGAATAAACAATGGTTAAGAGGCTTCAGCTGGAATGCTCTTTGGGCGGGCGGCAATAAGTGAAAAAAGGATTTTACCTGATGCATGCACCACATCTAAGCTTTAAGCCACCAAATTTGCTTTAAGATGTTGATTATTACACCAACCAGCAATGAGAAACTGCTGCCCCTCACTGGAGTCTTGCTTTAGAAGAAGCAATGTTGGGAGTTGCTCAACTATTCCTCACCAATGGCAACTCTGTTTTGGATGACCTGCAAGCACTATTCCTACTGCAAACCATGCTGACTTCTTGAGGGGCTGATGGCTAATGATTCAACAGTTAATGAAATTCCCTCCTGCAATGTGCCAAAGCTCATTATTCCAAAATGGGAAAGGCTATGGCACTGTAGCTGCAAGCAAGTGGGGGGCATCAGCACCTTCTGCTTGATATGCTGATTTTCTGTTGACCCAGCACACAATCAGCTAAGAGTTCTCAACACTCGTTGAATTCAAAACTCAAAGCTATATAACAACATCGACACCATAGTACAGTGATACTTAAGAACTGAAGAATTTCAAGTGACCCATACAGTTGTACACCATGTATATTCCCCCAGCCTCCTGTGAGAATTAGCTCATATATAATGTCCTGACTTGCATATTTTGTTAATAGAATTTATGCTACAGCATGAGAGACTGAATCCCAGTTCACTGAACATTCCACTAGATTCTCGCGTTCTGCCGCTACGGGATACGACACTGCAGCTCTACGGTCAGTAACCCATACAGTGTACGTCTTTGCTCCAGCATTGCAGTATTGCACGCATGGCAATGATGCTAGGAAAGTTCTGTAGCATCTTATGGATGACACCCTCATCCTGCTGCCTTTTCCCAATTTTCTTCTGCAGCAGTGGCAACCCAATCTCCAAACATGGCATGTTCTCCCACAGAAGCCTCTGATTATCAGTAGAATAGATGGGACCATTGGACCCAGGAAAACCTAAGTACCCCCTCTTTGCAGCATGGTTCCAATTTTTAAATCGGTTCAAGTATGAAATCCAGCACCAAAGTGCGTACTAAGACTCCCCGAATGTTTAAGGACGGTTACGCCGATGTTTTTTTACGATAAAGGCTCTGAGGTCCCCATTTTGATTCCATCTTCTTTGTGTGCAGCTAAAGCATGAATGGGTGAAGCTAATGATTTACCCCACCCTTATTCCCCCCAAAAGCCCACTAACACGCTTGTTTAATCAGTGTTTTGGGGTATTAAACTCACTGCCTCTCTGTGACACCTGTCTTGTTTAAGATTTTTTACAGCTAAAAGTTGGATTAAAGTGGTTGGAGCTATCCTAGTGATCTGATGGAGGATCTGGTTCCTGCCAAGGCATTCTATTCGGCTGCAGGTGGGAAGCTGCCCCTGCACAACCACCAAAGATCAAAGCATATCTCTGTCCTGTATAAATCTCTGATCAGTTGCTAACGTCTGGTGGAACTAGCTGTTGGCATGGAGCCGGATCACAGAGGCCTGATGGCGATCATGCGTGAAGAGCCGCCGCCGTCTGAGGAGCCGATGGACCTGCTGTCGAGCGCGTGGTGCAGCTCGGCGATCCAGGTTCTTCAGACGGGTCCGAAGGAGGAGGATCGCTCGCTGGCGCTGGTGGAGCACCCTGTCATGGGGCTTGACGATGATAGGAGAGACCTGTCGCAGCTGCAGGTAAGTGTAGGTAACTTCAGTGTACTGTAGCACATAACATTTTGTCAGGAGATCACGCTCAAGATGACAGACAATGGATGCCCCGGATGATTTTGCAGAGGAGTGATCGTAGCTTGGTTGTTGACGACAGCGGCTTCGGTGGCGCGGCGCAGCCGCAATGGAAATACGACGATCTGAAGGTATTCAGTTGATGCGGCCATGTGATGATCATGGTGTTTTCAGTCTGATGTTAACTGTGTGTGTGTGTCTTTTGGTGGTGTTTTTCAGTCATGGATATGGTTGCAGAAGGCAATTCACCCGGAGCTGGACTACGACAACAAGAAGAAATGGGTGAGTGTTAGGTTTAATTGGCATGATTTGCAAGATGAAACATAATCGTGACGCTAATGGAACGAATCGTGCAGTAGAAGAAGCCAGTTGGCAAATGGTTTGTTGATTGATTTCCAATTAACGCACGGATCGAGGAGATTTAAATGACACACGATATGCTTCCGTGATCATGTTGGCTTTGTTGTTGGATCTTAAATATTTGAACCTGGTACGTGTGGACGCAGCTCCCGCGCAAGATGGCGGCGCCATGGAGCGGCATCTCGCTCAAGAAGTGGGTCAAGGAGCGGAAGCAGAAGCGCAAGGAGGAGGCGCGGCTGCACAGGGCCGAGGTCCACGCCGCGGTGTCCGTCGCGGGCGTCGCGGCCGTGCTCGCCGCCATCGCCGCGGAGAACTCCGCGCCGGCGGCGCGCGGCTCGGCGTCGGCGTCGATGAGGGAGACGGCGGTGGCCTCAGCGGCCGCGCTCGTGGCGGCGCAGTGCGCGAAGGTGGCCGAGGCCGCGGGCGCCACGCGGGACCAGGTTGCCGCCGCAGTCAACGCCGCGGTGGCCGCCACGGACGCCAGCAACGTGATCACGCTCACCGCCGCCGCCGCCACCTGTAAGCCCTCTCGACCGGCCGGAGACGTTTGGAGATGCGACATGGTTCCAAAGAATTCAGATCACGAGATCATTTTGTCTGCGCGTTGAATTGACAGCACTGCGGGGCGCGGCGGCGCTGCGGGGGAGGCGCGGGGGCAGCGGCGGCCATGGGCAGGGCGAGAGGGCGGACCAGGGTGGCACGGCGCCGTGGCAGGACGACCTGGACTTCGACTTCAACTACGCGAGGTCCAAGGCGGCGCTGGCCAAGGGCGACGAGTTGTTCGTCGCGATGCCGGACGGTAAGTCGGCCGCCGTCGTATCGTGCGTGCCGTGCCATGATCAAACTCTTCTCATGTCATGCTTGTTGCCGTGCGTGCAGGGAAGTGGAAGCTGCACACGGTGTCCGCCGCCACGGACAGGAACGGCAAGGTCGTCCTCCGGATCAAGAAGATGAACCTCGTCATGCAGGCCTTCTCCAACGCGAGAGAATGTAAGAAGCCACCTCGACCGGACGCCCTCTCCTATTCTTGATTCGTCAGCCACATTGCATAACCAAGACGTTCACAGGCGTGGTGGAGGACGTCCGGCCGTGCGCGCCGGAGAAGGCGAGCCGGGAGGCGGAGGCGACGTACCCGGTGGAGGTGAGGACGAGCAGGGGCAAGGTGGAGCTCCGCGCCGACGACTATGCCGTGTACAAGAGGTGGGTCACCACGGTGACGCACATGCTCACCTCCTCCACCGCCATCACCATGCGCAATTAACCATCGATCCCGCCACCGCCGACCGATCGAATCCAATCCACTGACGTACGTGCGCGACCGGAAGTAACAAAGGGGTCGTACGTGTACATGTGTTCGATTCCAGATCTCGCGTTTCTGGTTTTAATCCCCTCCCAGATTGATGTGTAACTAAATTTAGCCTTTTGATGGGGTGACTTTGTCAATTTTAAAATTTGTTGGCTCAGTCTTTAGGAGATGCTTCACGGAATAGAGTGTGAATGCGTATCTATAGTCATAGGGGATGAGTGTACGCAAACGTTTGTGTTTGTATTATTTCTAAAGAAATGCACTAGGCAAAACTCTAGCAAATGGGCAGACTCTACAATGGTGTAGAGGTACTTAAAAAATAGAGTATTTTGATTGCTCTTCAAAATCAAATGGCTAGATTCTTTGTGGTGAAACCAACCCACCACTCCACCAAGGTTCAAGTCTTAGGGGCTGTTTGGATCTCAGCCTAAGCGTGCCACGTCTAAGGTGAGGCGTGCCACAACCCCTTAGGCGTGCGTTTGGTTCTAGACATAGGCTCGCCACAACCCCAAGGATCGTCCGCCGCTGAAATTTCGCTAAAAATGTGGCGCTCGTTTCGCCCGCATTGTTGCTTGCATTTTCCCTAGATTTATTTCAGACTTTTCCGTGATGTTCGTTCAATGTGAGAAGACGTTCCCGTCGACTATGAGGCACATGTGATGACTTAGTCAATCTTATGATGTTATGTCGGCTCAATATCCCAGAGAAGTTCATAGGGATAAAATGTGTTCGTAGGGTGCGTAGGTGTCAGACTCTCTAAACTAAAGTGTTCATATTTTTTTCATGTGACATCCACTCGTTAATGGGTTATATTTTCTCTTCATATACTTGCCCATCCAACCCGTTGCACATAGTGTAGGAGGATGGTCGCGCAACCAAGCTGGCGAGGGCGCCAGATGCGGTGGTCGACAACCATGT